TGCTGCCAGCTAGCAGGAAAGAGAAGTAATATTTCACAGCTCTGAAGTAAAGGAGGTCTGTATTTCACAGTTATGACAACATAGCTGTCAAATATGGCTTTTTAAAGTGTTACATATGAACCCAGACAGTCTTTATAGTAGCATTTGTTTCAGGGGGCAATTTAAGGTGAGCCTTGAATGGTCTGGAATTCAGCTACTTGAGAAACTGTCTTTCCCACTATTGTTAGTTATAGCTATTAAGATCAACTTCTAGGTGCTTTATGTCAGGTCTCCACCCAGCTGCGGTCGCTGCTGTCTGCAGAAGAATACCTGTGTTTGGTTTCACTGGGTAATACGTTGCTCCATGTCAGCTCACATACAACAGGCATTTGAGTTGTTTATCTGTTGGGCAGAATATAGTAGCTGCTTCTCACAAAAGATGTAATGAAAGGGAAAAAAAAAAAAAAAGCTCTTAAGATTGTGGACAGCTACTGTGTTGTGTTTACACTGTGAAGGATGTGGGGATATGCAGCGTAGTTTCTTGTAGAACGTCCTCTGAGCTGTTCTGAGAAGCTCTGGCTTTGGTTCCACTCGCTCAGCATAAGCCTGTATGACTTCTGTTCGAAGAAGCTGCAATTACTTAGTTTGAGCGGGAAATGTCGTGGAGCGTGGTTCTGTGACTGGCTGCGTTAGGTCAGCGAGGACGTTAAGCTCAGCTGTCAGCTTCTCTGACAGTTTAGGTACAACAGTGGTGTCGCACGCGTTCAGTAGGAAAGCACTTTCATTTCACACCTTGTAAACAAGCATTTCAGATTATGCCACGTGGGGGAAAAATTTACACACACGCTCGCCCCTTTTACCAGGTTAAATATGATAAACCTCAGCTATTTGTGCAAGGACTTAAACCCACTGATTCTTTAGCTAAATGATGACAACATCCTAGGGAAGTTTTAGGGCTTACCCTAGAAGATATTCCCGTAGACTTCAGAAAGCGCTTCTTTTTAAGATGCCATCAGCAGATGCCTTGAGTAGACGCATAGTATCACGGTGTCTGCCGTGCAGCTGAGCTGTTCCGAAAACATCATTAAGAGGTATATTAAATATCATTTCAGTGTCCTGAGCGTTCATGAATGAACACCACATTCCCTTGTATGAACTTTTCCAAAGTTTGGTAGGGTTTTGCCACTTCAGAACTTGTGATTGTAGTATTTCATATTAAAATGGTGACCAAGAAGACCAACAAAAAAAAAGGCTGAAATCCAAAACTGTTGTGTTTGATTGGCTTGAAGTGATATTTTTCATCAGCTATCTCTAGGGTCTGATAATAGCAAGATAGCTTTCTGTTATGTCGTAGTATAATAATACATGTTTCAATCACCACAAGTTTATTGACACTTTCTTCGAAATGTTGCAAAGGAGCACCATTCTTTTATGTGTTACAGAATATTTTCTTGATTGCTGGTATGCTAAATGTCTAGAATAACTTAGTGTTTTCTGTTGGGCAGTGAAAGTTGTTAAACATCTCTACATATAGTTAAAACCAGTATTTTTGTTAGTCCTGAAATAGTCTCAAATCAGCATGGTCACTGCCCTGCTGGACATCCTCCCCTGTGAATTTGGGGACTTGATTTTCCAAAGCTGCTTTTTATCAGCAATTAATTTGCTTCATTTAAAAAAAAAAAAAAAAAAAAAAAGGCAAACCGGCCTGTACCTCACCTGTCTGTGACCTGACTTTGATTTCTCTGGTGCTGAGGAATCTTGAGGGTGGGTGAACACAGTAAGATGTTGCCCGGAGAAGCTGCAGAGACGCCATCCCTGGAGACAGTCAAAATCCACCCGGACGCAGTCCGAAGCAAGCGGTTCTGGTTGCTCATGCCTTGAGGAAGGGCATTGGATTAGATGATCTTCAGAGGTCACTTCCAACCTCATCTAGTCTGTGATTTTGTGGGTTTTATGAGTTATTGGACACATAATAAATAATTCTGAATTATTTACATCTAAAGAGGATTGCTATTCTTGACCTTCATTCTTATGTACTTGTTGGACATGTCAAAACTTTTGGGCTTTTTCTGCTTGTGCATAAAAGTTTATGCAGCGCATGGCTTTTGATTTGAGTCGTGCAGTTAAAAATGATAACAGATATCCTCTCTGCTCTGTTTATCGTACAGAAAAATTAGCTATGCAAATGGCATAGAAAAGCAGGAGGCTGAGCCCATAGTCCTTACAAGTTTTTGGTGGTGTAATTCTGTGATAGCGTGTGCAAGTGCTAAGAGCTGAAGAGGAACTGATCTGCAGGCAAAAACATGTCTAAGGAAGCTGGTAGGAAACTATGAATGAATGTCTCGTCTCTGTCCTTCACCCCCAAACATATTAATTGAGCTTGTTCTACATTTAATTGACTGTGCAGCTTTACAGTAGCCACAAGATTTATGGGTTGCATAAAGTTGTTGTAGCAGACTGCTATATATAGGCAGAAGTTGGTTTTCCTTATTTTATCTGGCTCTTTTGTTTGAAGCTGTTGCCTTTTTTTGGAATTGAGGTATTAATTGCAGTGGTTTGCTCTGCTCTTCTCAGAGCCAACACTTCGGTCCTTAATATGTGTTTTTCTCGGGTTTTTTTTTCTGACAAGAGTTGTACACGTGGCTGCCACGATGATTTAGCTAGATAGTCTTTTAAAAAATGTTAGTCTATGGAGGCAAGGCAGTAGGAAATGAGGTTTTTGGGGGGAGGATTAATTGAAGAGTGCCTTGTCCCATTCTTTTAATTTCTCTTAAGATTATTACAGCTGTTATCACAGTTTTCCATGTTGGAATTTTTAATTAGTTCTATGACTTTGGGATTTATATGTAGATTTAGGCTGAAGCGCTCGGCCTATGCCGAGATGTCACATATGAAAATGGATGTGCAGCCAAATCTTCAAAGCTGTTCTGCAAAATTGGAGGCATTTAGCACTGGATGAGTCAGGTTGAGATAATGGTTTACAGTATACAGTTTTATTTCTATTAATTGTTAAGTAATGGTGTTTTTGTTTTTGAGGACTGCTTTGCTACATCTGGTCATTAACCTTTCCTTGCTAGGACTACGCATCAAGGAAGCAAGAAAATACGTCCTAGTTTGTCAGCAGAAGCGTGAGGCTGGGCGGCCTATGCACTAGGAAAGCAATTTTGAATAACAACCCATAAGGAGACTAAGCATGGATCCCCTCTGCTGCAGGATCTGTACCTCCTGCATTTCCTTCCAGAATGAGAAGCCAGATGCTCAACTGATAAATATGAAGTAGAATAGGAAAGAATTAGAAAATGCCAAAGGTTTTGCCTTTGAAGTGAGGAATTTTAAAACTGATCTTAGTTGAGAATTAAACACACATATTCTTGAAACAGTTACAAATCACATTTGTCTGGCAAATCTAATCTTGCTCGGCAATGTCTGAGGAAGATTAACTTTGAGAAATGTGAAGTAGCTGCTTCAGTAGGGGTGATTTTGCCAACTCTTGAACATTATTCTGAGAAGACAGACTTACTCAGGCTAAATTTTCTTTGACTCATAAGCACATGCAGTAAACAAACGGAAAATGTCAAAGGTCCCACTTCAACTTGGGAAGGAAGGGATATTTCAGCAGTCAGGTGGGGTTTTTTCCCCCCCCCGTATCACAGCTTAGTCACCTGTGGAGTGGTCGGTGCAGCACCTTGTATTGCGTGGGTGGCTCCGCAGCGACTGCGCCCAGTGGAGGGTGCTTTGGGGCTGCCGCGGGTGACGTCCTCGGCAGCGGCACTCTGTAAGCTCTTCGGTTCGTCTCAAAGCACCCCTTTGTAGCCAGTGCAATGGAACGTTTCAAAGCAAGCGTTCAGCTCTGTGGCTTCTCGGTGCCAGGGATTCTCTGATATATCAGAGTTGTAAATGTGAGGCTAAATAGTTTACGTGATAGTGATTTATAACTGTTGACGTACCCTCTATTCAAGCTGTGTGCTATTCATGTTTGTGTTTGTTTTTAATAGGGAATGTTTAAAAATGGATAAATATTACTTTTCTCTGGTCAGAGATTTAGAGGGGAAGAACTATACTTATAAAGGATGTTTTGTTTTTAGACACTGTTGAATCCTCTCTCTTCTTTCTTCCTAAGAAGAAAAAAACCCACCAAAATCCAACAAAAAAAGAAAGAAAACCCCACTGTGGTTGTTGCAGTGAAGCCAGACTGAAATCTATTTATAAGTGACCATGTGAGATGCACCTCTGAAAACTGTAATAATTTCTGGCATCTGTGAAGCAAAAGATGCTTTACAAATAAAGGCTTTCGGACTTGACATTTAAAAATGTATTTCAATATGTGCATATAATATACATGTAAATATATGTTTTTATCTGCTGTAGCTCTTCTTTGATACTTTTATTGCATAACTTTCTTAATCAGAAATTAAATGCTTATTATAAGTGCATCTTCATGTTTTCTCAGAAGTACAGCATTGCAGTGTGTGTAGTGGTAAGAGTAAGCTACAGGGAAAGTACTGCTAGAAGGTTATTAAATCTGTAAGTGGAACTCGTCTTACCTCGCTCGTGTCCTTAAGTCCAGTTTTGCTGCTTGTGTATGTGTATTTACATTTACGCTCGGTATGTTTGAGCGTATGAAGTTATGTGTGTATGCACATGTGTGTGTACACTCACACATCTAAATGAAGGATGTTGTATTTGGATGCTGTGGTTCGACTAGAGGTTGAGTTGCAACTCGGCTGTTGAATTGCATAGCGGGGGACTGGGAAGCATGATGGAAAGACAAAATCACAACAGTGGACTAGTGGTGGCCTGTAAGAAGCAAGATGAATAACAGTGGGCTTTCTCAGCCATTTAGCATCCTAACAAAATCCTATTTGCAAAATAAAAAAATACAGAAAATTAATTGCATAAAATATTATTAGGATTGAAGTAATGGAAATGAGAGGAAAAAGTGAAAGACAAAGCAGCTTAGGTAAGCGGTTTTCCCAGAATATCTGTTACTTTCCGTGACCATGACAAAGCCACTGGCAATGGAAGGCATGATTTAGTATCAGAATTTGAACAAATCACATTTTTATTTGGCTGACGGTGCAGTTTCTCATACTAGGTACAGGACTGTCCTGCCAACCGTGATTTGTTAATCCCATCCGGAATTCTGTACAGCAAACTTCCATTGTACAACAGTGCAGGAAATACTGGAATTGCGCAGGGCTGTATTTAAGAAATGGGAAACATTCTGCAGTTACCTCCTTGTCAAATGTAAGGTATTAAAGATGTATGTCCAAGAGACAGCAAAAATGTGTACTTGTTATGTTTTGCTCAGTTACTGCGTAAGTGTTCTGGTTGTAGTTATGTATTTGGAGATTGTTAACGTAATTAGAGCTGTCTAGTTGAATTGTTAAGCAACTAAACTTTTCAAGAAATAAGTAAATTCTAGCTTGGTGGTTTTGAGTTAGTTTCCAGGTCCCATGTTTAGACTTGAAACTCAAAATTATTTTACACAAACCATTGCAGACAGGATGGAAAAAAACCCAAATGGACGATTTTGTTAAAGAACATTTCCATTAAAATATTTGCATGAGTGGGTAAAGCTTATTCTTGCAAAACTAACATTCTCTTTTCAGTATAAATCTTAGAGTATTAAGTAGAGGTATTAAAATTTTATGGCTTCCTGCTGTGTTGGTGCAAAAAAACCAACCACCATTTTAAAAATCAAAATATATCAGTCATCTCTGAGCAGGATGAGGCCTATCTAGTGCTTATTGAAGCAATACATAAAGTCTTGTAAGGAAATGATCTACAGTGGCAGCAGAGTGACACTGTTGCTTAAATATTTGCATTATAGTTTCCGGTACTTGCACAGCTTGAAAGCCCTGTAGTATTGAATGTTACTACATGTTAGACGTTAATGTGTTTTATGTTACCTTGTAGCGTAAAAGTCATTGTCAGAGCAATAAATAATTTAGAAAAAATGTAAAACACTCAATGCTTCAGAGATTTCATTCAATGTATTTTTGTGGCATAGCAAAAGAAAAATGTTAAAATTGTTTACAGGAATACTGTGTGTAAAAAGTATTTCTTCAAATACATTATTCTAAAAGGCTTTTATGACAGTCCCATTCTCCAAGATGTCTCAAATTAAAAAAAGGAAGCAAGCTAGGACTGATGCTGAATCTTAGCATGATACTAGTATGATATTGGGACATTTTAAGGTTTTTCCTAGCAGTGCGTACTTGAACTTGTCACATGTGCTGCAAAAGTGTCATTGATTGATAGCCCCAGGTTTTTTTCCCTGATTTCTAAAAGGATATTCGGTATCTGGTGATGCATTTACCTGCTAGTGGTGTCTTAATCTGTAGGAAGACCCACACATAGCATTAGTCTCTGGTCTGTTGTACTCCATTTCACCCTCTCAGTGCAGAATTATTGACATTGTTAGTCTCTCAGTATCACTGACACCAAACACATAAAAAGTCATGTTTAAAAAAAAAAAAAAAAGTATTTGAATGCTTTTATGCTAAAAAAAAAAGAATTTGAGTTCTTTTTACTTGCCTTTTGCCTCTGACATTTTTAAGAATCCTTTCCCTGCAGCTGGAAAACCTAGAAATGAATCTGTGATAGGTCTACTTCTAATGCAAGCTGTTATCCTCTTGAAATCATGCGATGGTTTTCCTGGTGGCTGTCACTGTTACCTGAAGATAACGCCCAGGTGTCTTCCTTTTTGTAGGGGCATTTTTAGAAGGCCTTACTTTGCAGTGTGAGGTAGCGTTTAAATTCATCTAAGAATCAACCTGCCATTTTGAGGGATAAAAAAAAAAAAAAAAAAAAAAAAATCCAGGCTCACATGTGTCAGTATGAATTATAGATAATGGATCTAGAAAAACAATTGAGAGAGATCCTTTATTTATATAATAACTTCATTTTAACTTTCAAATGTATCCTTGTGGTGGTGGTGGCAGTAATAGTTCTCAGCTACACAGGTGCACAAAAGAAAGTGTTGAACTGCTTAGGAAATGTATGTGGTTTTGCTCTGATACAGTTTTTACAGTTGCAGAATCTTTAATCTAGATTCAAAAGATGCTTTTTAAATGCATGCTTTCCCAGAGACAAAATAGCCTTTGGAACTCCTGGAATTTGTAGCAAATCTACAGGTGAGCAATGAACATGCATAAGAATATTAACGTATAGGTGATTTGCATCTACTTACTGACTGCATTTTTTTCCCCACAGTTTTTAAGTTGTGGCATGGCCACTGGCATGAGATATACACATATAATAAAGCTGGATTTTTGTCTCTTTTTCAGAGGGTTCGCAGAGTTCAGTTTCAGCTTCTAACGAGATCCAGCAGAACCAGCCACAGGCACTACACTATGCACTAGCCAACGCTCAGCAGGTTCAGATCCACCAAATAGGAGAAGATGGACAAGTCCAAGTAGTATGTACTCAACTTTTTCTAAATTATTCCATTTAAACAATCTAGATTATTGCAAACTTTGCTTCAGTTGAAATTTAATTTTTTTTATTTTAAGAAAGTGACCTATCATCACTTCTTAAGCCCGATTTTCAGAAAATAAACATTGAAGGCTTATGAAAAAAATTTTAAGAGTTATTTGGCAAAAATCTTCATGCAGGATTTGCTCACACAATTGTTGCAGATAAATGCACATTCATTACTGTATATAGAATTGACTAGTCTCTAGCTGGCCGCTTGCTCGCATTTGCCATAATAATAATAGCAGATCTAATAAGCATATGATTCACACTCAGAGGTAGTTCTAGCTCTGACTTTCAAAACAAGAATACATTTATTTATTTGTTTTCATTTAAAGCCTCTGCATTCTCCAGCATTTTTGACCATCTGTTAGCTGAATCCTTTACATGTGTATTCATTTAGATACATGTATATCAGTAAAAGTTATAAATATTGACTTTCTTAAGCCTGAGACTCCTACCATAACTCAGGCCATGATTATTTTTATATATGGTTTTAGTGTACTCCTAAAAAACTCACCTTGGCTTTAGTTCCTGTGTGCCACAGTTTGACTACAAGGATTGTTTTAAATGCAAATGTAAAAAAAAAGAAAAAAAGTAGAAGAAAATAATGGATTGTGTGGCATTTCTGACGCACGCCATTCAGAAACAGTGAATTATATCTGCACACTCATTCTTTTGTGGTAGAAACCTGAGAATTTAATGTGTGAAATCTGTCTGCCATTAGTTTTCAAAAACTTCAGGCTTTGCAGTTTACAGCATTTGTGTGCGGTCATACAGCGCAGAAACTTCTTCACCGATGGTATTAGTGTTTTTGAAGGTACCCAAAGTCTGAGTACGGGCCAGCACTCAACTGTGCCAGGCAGCGTCCAAGCACAGAACAGACAGAAACGTGCACGGACACGTACGTGCCCGTTCTGCATGATGATCACACAAGCCCACTTTCCTTAGAAAGCAGGCTAAAGAACCAGGTGGAAATGGGCAAATAAACGAGAATTCTTGAGCGATATCAGTCAACAATATAAACCGTAGTACTTAGTGGTCTGGCTCTTGCAAAGGTTTTAGTCAATGCCATTACAAAGAAGAGTCTGAAGTAGGATAATGAAGCATCTTTGGTAGATATTTATTCTTTCCCCGAGTAAGAGAGGCAGTGCAGGAGAGAAGGAGCAAATGTGCCCACTTGAATAATTTACACATAAAGAATGAAAACTCTGTCAATACAGGGAATACTCAAGTCTGGTCATGCAGAGCTGCAAATAGCATGGAAACAGTGAAGTCACTTAGAAGTACAATGAAGAAAAAAGGGCTGTGAAGGACAGACGCTTTTGGAACGTTATCAAAAAAGACATGTCTGTAAGACCTGCTGAAGGTTTACCGGAGTAGCAGTAGAAGAATCAGAGGAGAAAAGTGTCATGGAAATTGGGGGAAAATTTCAAGATGTGAAGCACAGTGTTGAAGGCAACTGACAGAGCTGTAAGCATTGCTTAAAAGGAGGACTTAAATATTAGCCAGAGTATATTTTAAGGAGTGTATGGAAGTGGAAGAGATTTGAGATTAAAGTGATTGAGAGGAACTCCAGACAGCAACTGTGAGAGTTGTAGAGAGGAAATTGCAGTAGAGAGCAGATTTTTCCAAATTGAAGAAGGTTGCTTATGAAGTAAGAGAAAAGAAAGAGCTGGAGTGTGGGTGTAAGGGATGCTAGGAGCCATTAGCTGTGAGATTCAGATAGGGTTGGGAAGTCCAGGCCACCCCTTTTGTTTTCCTCAAAAGGCCTTGCCCTTTTTCTGTTTTGTACCTGGACACCATATGACTTAAATGGAAGCTGAGGAGCTCATCCTGGAGAGTGACTGCTTAATGGAACTAGATCCTAAATGCTTTGAGTTACTATTCTCAGACTTGGAAGAGGACTAAAGAGAAGTTCAATAAATTAATTTGCAAACTTTTTTCCCTTCTGTCAGTTGAGAGCATCCTCGATGAAATAATTCTGCAGGAACTGGGTGCAAAGGTTCCATTTCCACTTCACTTTTGCCATAACTTTACAGTATTATCATGTGAATTTCTTTGTCTCTTGGTTTCCCTATATATTTTAAAGAGCATATCTTCTTAACTGCTTTTATGAGATTTAATTGATGACTGAAAAGTATTTTTGAAGTCTTGGAAGACAAGGTAGAAGGGAAAATTATATGAAATACATGGATATAGTAGACAAAACAGTTATGTTTCTAGGTGTAAATGATGAAAGTTTGCCTCGTTAAAAGATCTGGACCTGTCAACTATCCTTTAAATTGATTGTGGAATCCGTGAAAAATCCACTACGACCGACAACCGCTATCTAAATGTTGTCATAATTTGTCAAACATGTAGAGGAGTCCCAGGTTCAAGGAGATGAAAATGGTATTGCTTTTTCAGTTCTAGGGAATGATACATATAGATCAGGCTAAGAGTCATTAGTAAGGCAGTAATTATTTATACTATATATGTTTAAAAAAAAAAAAAACAGTATAGAACTGAATTTGTGAACAAACTAAAAGGACTGTCCTTGAAGGCCAGCTGTGTATCTGCAAAAGATGAGTGAGCAGTTCTTTTTTGGAATGCTGCATGATAGAAAGGTGAATCAAGTTACCTCCTCCCCCTCCCTTTAGTCAGAAAGGATTGCTTATATTTGAAGACACTATAAATGGATCTTTTAAATGTTCAGTGCTTTTTCCTGGGAGCCCTGAGAGCTTGATGTTAAGGAGGGAAAGTGATTCTAATCTCAACATGGACTGGGCTGTGCTCTAATTTTATATACAGTCCCTATTGTCAGAGTGATACTTTCGGTCTGTTTTTTCTCCCTATAAATAGACAGTTTCCTTCCAAAGGAAATGAAACTGTTTGAAATAGAGGGATCTGTGTTTCTTTGAAAATCACATGCAATTGTTCTTGTGTTATAAAATAAGAAGAGCCTTTGACAGAATTCCAAATGATTATCTTTAATCTCTCATGCAGGCATATTAAAACTAACACAAAGCCTTATAAACCCTGAAGTAGGTTATTTAGAATCCAATCTCCCTTCAGGTAAATCACAGTAGCAAAGACTTCGCTGGGCTAGTCAGGATGCGCAAGGAATTCCGTCCACTCTCTTATCTGTGTTTTGATCAAATGGTAGGCTTGGTACCATTCTGAAGTGGTGGGTATGGTCAGCAATACAAAGTATTAACATTATTAAAACTGTTTAGGGCAGATTCTCCACCAGCATAAACCACTGTAACTGCATTCAATTTAAAGACTTCATGCCAATTTGTCGAAGCTCGAGAGAGGGTCTTTAGCATGGTACTATACTTCACCATAGCTATGTGAACGTACAAAGGTGTACGGATACTTACAGATACCTTTTAAAACCTCAGTGTTAGTGAGTAGTTACTCTTGGTGTATCTGTTTTAAGAACTAAGTTTCTAAGGTCTTTAAATGGGATTAATGTTTCAGGCACGACGCTAATCTACCAAAGCAAGTTAGTCCCATGCTTTGTGTATCAGTCAAAAATGCAGCTACTTTGTCTATAGAGAAATGCACTACATAAATGTTATTTATTATTATGCCTGTTTTCTTTCCTCATGTGAAAATGAAGCATTCTTTCTTCAAAGTCACTCTGCTTACACTTTGCATAAAAAGATGGGGAAATAATGGATGCACTTTATTTTTTAAAGCTATCTTTAATGGTTTTCATTGAATAAGCGTTGTGCTTCCATACATAAAGCTGTATTGAATCCAAGGTAATAGCTTCTTCCTCTAGTTTTGATTTTCTTCTGATGCTCCTTGGTGTTTTCTTTTGTTGCGGATCCCACAGGGACATCTCCACATAGCCCAGGTTCCTCAAGGCGAGCAAGTCCAAATCACGCAGGACAGTGAGGTGAGCCAAACATTTGGGTGCCCGTGGAGCAGATGTTGGCAGGAGCTTCGGGCCCTGATTCTAAAACCGTACCTCTGAGATCTGCTACAGTACACTGCAGAGAGCACTGCGCGTAGAAGTGAGAGCGGGTGGTGGAGCCGGGATGAAATGTGCTTCATGACAGTAAATGCAATATGATATTTCTGTCTGTGTTTTGTTTTTTTCTTTTTCCTCCTTCCCTTGACCAACCAAGACAGCTCCATGTGCACGTTACACTAATGATTGCTGCATATGGCTGAGGGTCTCTGTTGGAAATTTAGTACTTGGAGTATTACAGGAAACCAGCTTAGGTGCTTGCACTGCCATTGAGAAATGAAATTCTTTTAGTTAGGTTTATGAACTAAATGTGTTCGGAATACTCAGTGTCTTTAATTGGGGGAACTGTTGAACAGGAGTTGGAGAAACCGTCAGATGCCGTCTAGTAAAGATATATTGCTGAATGAAGGGAACTTACCTTCATTACTGATCAAGTAATCTGGCACTGCAGTGCTTGCACTTCATAATTTTTTTCCATAAAAATAGTACAGTAGAATGAAAATGGGTAAATCCAGTACTGAACCCTCCAATTTTGACTTTTTTCCCCCAACTCGGGCAGAACAGCCATTAAAGCCAGCTGACTTTACCCGAGTGAGAGTGTTATTGTTGGTTATTTAAGAATGTATAGAGACTCCTAACTGCTAAGACTGCTGTTAGATTTCCTGTGCACTTCGTTTGTTTACATGAAGAAGCAAGAGCAAAATAAGGTTAAACAGAAATGCAGACTACAATTTTAATCTGTATGATTTCCCTGTAGAGTTTTTTTACTCAATGTTAAGCATATCTGCTTGTGGGTTAGTTTAATCTGTTTCCAAAGTACCCTAAATGACATCTCCTAAAACCACTTTTGGTGCAAAGGAATACTGTTAACACAGGGAGCTATTGCAGAATAAATATTATTGTAAATATTATATAAATATTATAGTTCAAGGCAGTCTCCTTTTGAAGAACTTGTCAGACCTAGAGAGAAATAACAAAAGATCAAAATGTTCTGGGTCTAAAGGAATGCATCATGTGCTACAGTAAAGCTGAAGCAGTTCTTGGGTAAGGAGCCACTGAAAAAATTACGATTCAACAGATATTAGTTGTAATTGATCCTGAGGTTCAAGCCCACGCCGGTGTCCATTGGCTTCATCCGATGTTCCCGTATGTAAGACTTTTAAGGACTGCATTTGTCCGTGACGGATGAAAACATCTGGTTTTAAATTTATTACAATGTACACAGCTTCAAATAAGAGGAAGTGCTGCCAGTAAGAGAAAATGCAGAAAGCATGCAAATCAAAGAATTGGTATTTCTTCCTGAAAGAAATGTGCTATTTCACTGCAAGTCTCTGTTTGGGAAGCTGTTTTTTTTCTTAATCTAAGTCTACTTTTGAGAAGACATCTCTGAGCATATGAATAAAAACTTAATTTTGTAAAGATACTGCTTTCCTTTTTAGACTTTGTAGCTCCAGTGTCCTTTAAAATACTTTACATTATTGAGAAATTTTTGTAATAGATGTAATTCCTGTAATAGAACTATGTTGGTCTTTGGTATCAAATTTTGATAAAATAAAAAAATTTGTTAGCACAGGCAGGAACTTTATAACAACAAATAGTAAATAGTGCTCCATACATATAAAAGCGTTATACTGCTAATTCTAGTTTAGTAAGGGTTTGACTTAAATTTGCAGTTTTAGATAAATAAGGAAAAACAAAAATCTTAACTCAAAAGCCATACAAACTTTGCATAAAAATACTGCACATTATACAGTTACTTTCCAAAAGCAAAACATGCTGGTGCTGAAAAACCTCCTTGCTTTTTAATCTGTTTATCCTCGGTGGTTAAAGTGCTGACCATTGAATTGTAGCTGGATTGCCAAAATAACCCTCAGCAGAATTTCCTAAATTAATACATTTCCTTAATATTGAAGTTGTTTAACAACGAGACGAGAAACAGGCCTTTTTCAGGACAGAGCAACTTTTTAAATTCCAAAGTTGTGTTTATTGTCAATGTTCTTATTTTACAGGGAAACCTGCAGATACATCAAGTTCATGTGGGTCAAGATGGGCAGGTAGGAACAGAACTGAGTCTTAAACAGTGTTTTACTTTGGTCTTTAATGTTGCAGTTGGAAGGATCTCACATTATTAGTGGCTGTTTTAAAGAGCAAAATCTGTTCTGGTCTTTCTGTTTAAATAAACAACTCGCAAATGATAAAACGTCAGCTAAGTATTTTGTCTGTGAACTCCAAGTATTTGACCGAGCTTATTTCATTACTCCTGCAAGATACTTTATCCCTGCGGTTTATACCTTTTTGTCTTTGGCCTCTCCACTCTCACATTTACTAACTGGATTGATTATGTTGTGTACTGTATGTTCTTTTCTCTGTTATCAACTGCCACTATGGCCAGATGTGGACCACAGTCTATGGAAACCTAAGAACATTTATTGCTGAGGTTTAAGCAGCTATTTTTTCATTATATGGCTGTCTTGGGAGAAACAGATCTTTCACATCTGCTTTTGTTCTTTTTGATAAGATGGCTTTATTAGGTGCTTATGCATACATGAGGTAAGAAGAAAAAGCTTTTACTTTGAGTGATGAGTCAATAAGTGATTAAATTAGCAGAATTTCCATGTCAGGTGTCAGCAAAATTGCTGACATTTGATCTCGGACACAATTTACTAAATGTTGAGCTATATTAAAATATCCACAGCACAAAAATATTCCTGTAAGAAGCTTTCTAGCCAGGCCACTTGAATAAATGTGTTATGAATTTTATTTGTTCCTGTTGAATATTAATAAGTTCTGAGACATATGGCTAGAACTTGAATACTGCCCTGAATTGAAAAGGCTCAGATCATGAAGGTTCTTGAACTCAAAGGCCTTGAGAATCTACCAGTACTCTGAACTCTTGACCATATAGAGTATTTGTGTGGGGAAGCAATCTAACTTGTATTTAAAAAATAAAAATTAAAAAAACCCACTTCAGGTGTTCTTTACTGAGACTTTAATTGGCAGTACTTTTGCAGAAGTGAGACTAGGAAAGGTGATTTTTTAGAGACATGTCAGAACCTTTGTTTTAGTGCTTACTGTTCTTTTTTCCCTTCTTTGTGAAATACTGCTGTCCAAATTACACTTTCTTGAAAGACTAATACTGGGGGGTGTTACGTCTCTCCGAGTGGCATGTAGATCAAGTTGCTTTTTTTTTTTTAATTCTAGCCTAGTACCATTATTTTTCCCCTTGAAATAGCTATTCATAATAAGTAGTCCACAAATTGCATCTCTCTTTCTTAAATAGAACCAAAATATGTAGTTTAAAATGTTGTTGCGAGCCCATGCTGCTTTTAAGGGAGGTGCTTGGATGACCGTATTTTCCTGAAACCCCTTATGTTAGGCAGGGGGGAGGTGAGTTCTTCCAAACAGCAGCAGCATTCAGCCAAAAACTTCCAAACTCTGCCCGTAAGTGGAGTCTTGCTGATGATCTGAGCACTTGCATTAGCACGTGCAGAATAAGGCTACGGTGTTCTAAAAGTATGTGCCTGTAAATGCGTGTATACACGTGTCCGTGCGTACATAGGGGTGCGTGATACGTGTTCAAGTGTGTGAGAGCACTCACAAGATAGGGAAGTGTGATTTAAGCGATTTTTGGTTTTTTGTTTTGTTGCAATCACCATCAGCTTGTCTCTATAACAGTGTCTGTACTATTACAGAGCATATCACATTTTCATTGGGATCATCTCGGTTCTGTCTGAGTGGTTGTGGCTGTACCTGTATATGTAGGAAATCAGTTCAGCATCTAGTTTTTGGTTTTTTAACTAGCTGTACTCTGGGCCCTGCTTTTAAACTTTCCTGAAAACGAAGGGTGAAATGCTGGGGTGGTTTTCTTCGTGCACTCAGCTGCATTTTGGTGCAAAAGAGTAGCTGCTGTCTCTTGAGACTCAACAGCCAGGCGTTGTGACGCTTCAGCTGCCATCTGTGCAAATTCACAGGAACCCTTGAGCTCTTCGAAAAGTATTTGCTGCTTAACTATTTTCCAGTGGACCAAAAAAATAGGAGCAAGCAAGTATCGAGGGGATTTTTATCTCCGTTCTGCATTAGATACTGAAGCCTGCATCAGCAGTTTGAGGCGTGTGGGCCTGTTTTGCACCGAGGCGGATGAGTAGCACTCACATGATTCCTTGCAACAGCTCTGCCTGTGGGTTATGCGAGGGGTAGAGGGGAGCTCTGTGGCTCGACCGGCTTCTGCTCATCAGCTGATCTGCGTTAAGCGACCATTTTTTGAGCTATTAGCTCATAAAAACTGCAAAGGAAAATGAGTTAAACTAAACTGTGGTTTGAGAATGGAAGTTGAAACTGATACATTTTCCTTGGCACTTGCAGCGGGATAAGAGCACAAAAACCTGCCATGTGATACGGTTCAGTAGTAACGTAAGCCATAACAAGCCAGTAGCTCGCGATCGTCTGTACGCGGCCTGTGATCAAAGAGACCGCTGTAGCTTTCCCACCTGTCCGTTACTTTTCAGGAGAGTGGCTTTTTCTCCCGTGTTTTGAACTCTTAACGCATGCTGCCGAGGGACGCTGAAGAATATCGATAATAAGGAAAGTGAATGATGTAGCGCTTCCGAGACTTCAGTTATGGGACATTCTTAGCTGACTGATATATACCTACTAATGGTACTAGATCTTAGCTTGGCTACTACATATTCCCTTTGGAAATTCATCTCATGCTGCTGTTTTCCACATATTATTGCACGCTTAACAGATGTTGGGCATTCTCTCTGCTCAGGTGAGGTTTAGTACTGCTGCCTGACGCAGGCTTTCGCTCAGAATCACAAGGAAAAGGTTTACAAGAAGCTGGGACTGCAAAGCCTGAAGTTGTTAGCTTCATACGAACTAAAGCAAAACATGGCATAATTCTACTGTGAAATATTATCAGTAAAATTTCCAAGGTGATAGACAGGTTTTAAGCTTTGCAATACTAGTAGTAAATACTAGCTGCTTTGCTGAATGCTGCCAGTTGTTGATTTTAACTTCCATCCTCCCCACCCCCCCAGCTGTCTGTCCTGGTAGTTGCACTGAATTTAGATTTTGTTTTTCTGGCATCATTGTTCATGGAACTAAGGAAATCATGCCAAAAAGAACGCTGTCTACCTACACATGTGTTCTGTTAGCTGAAAGTTTCATATTTCAGTGCACATTTAATAAAAATACCAAACTGCAAAAATAATTAGATGTCATATTAACTAACACTTGAAGCTGTGGACCAGTGGGAATTTTTTGGACTTCGCATTTTATACTTACGAATTACCAGAAGTTTTTTAATTTGTCTCTTTCTTTCCTCTGCTTCCCTTCCCTCCTTTCTCCCTAACTCTATTCCTTTCTTCCATTGAGCTTCAGTGTTCTGCATCCCAGGAGGGTGTTCCGTGTGTGTCCTGCACCAGACGTGCTGACAGCGTTCAGAAATACGCGTGGGGTATGAAGAGGCAGAACAGGACGGTTTCAGTAGTTTGACGTTCCTTGATTCTGCATTTTAGACATTCCATTTTGTACATCCTCACAGCTAGCGTTTCCCCAATTTTGAAATTAATTAAAATGACACCAGGCAAATGGTCTTCAACTAATAGCTTTAGTTCTTAAATTAAAAAGTTAATGCACTTTAAAATCTAAAATACGATTATACATATTCCTGGAGAGCGGACAATTTGTTCTGCTCTATGAACAAAAAATTAATAAGAGTTAGCAGCTTTTCGTTCACTTAGTATCAGTATCTGTAGGTAAGTTAGAAGAAGCAGGAGAATCCAGAACAAACAGTATGTACGATAGGTCTAGCAGAAAAAAGCCAGCCAGTGTGAATTGCTTTTTTAGTACCCGTCGTCTTACTGTGTGCATATGAACGGAACATGCAGAATTGCTTCTGCTACATTACATTTTTCAGAAAGAAACTTGGCATCTTATATCGCTGTAGACACACAATGTCTTCCAGATAAGTTTATAATCGAAGTGGTGTGGTGAGACCCATCCATAACTGCTGAGTTACATTTATGCAGAGAGAGCGGGGATCACATTAATAACACATTTTTCTGCTGCTCCATGAGGTATTTGTACGGAGCAGCGATTGCGCTATCTTTTTCTGAACTTGTACTCTGCCCTTGCTGCTCTGGGCTTTATGGCAGCTCTGGGGTCTGGGAGAGTTCAGATACGGGGCTGTGGAGGTAGCTCTCCAGTTGAGCTCCAGAAGAGCATCCTCGTGTGTGTAATGATCGTACGAGAGAATGCGAATCCGTGATCAGAAAGGATATTCTTGGAAAACTGCCGTAGCGATGGAGAAAATACGGCAGACTTCAGTGCTGCGAAGTAGCAGCTAGCTGCCGTTGGGCCTGAAAGGTTAGAATATAGACGTGTGTGAGAAACAGATCAGTGAGAGTTTGTCTTTAACGTCCTCAGGAGGAGCATGAATCCGATGGCTCGTTCAGATCTGCTTTCAATACACATCGTACGCCCCGTAATACAGCTCGGGAGGAGATATGACCTCATCACCTAGGTTTGAAACATCTGTCCTACTGCTCCGCGCTGCTGTAGTCTGGAGTGGGGGGCAAGCTGTTAAATCTTAGTGGAATGGAAAAGGGGAGAAATGCTTCCAAATGTTCGGGGGGGAAAAAAACCCCTATTCTAGTCATTCCACCTAATATCCAGTGAATGTTATTTGTGACTGGATCAAACTGAGATGAAAGTAGGTTGGTTTGTGGAGGAAATTATTTACAAACCTATGGGACAGTCTTAAACCAACTCTTGTAGCATCTAGTTTTTGTATCTCCGTTTACCTCCTGATCATTATTGAGATATTCACACCTTGCTTTTCAGAGAGGGCACCACATTTTTTTTTAAGGTCCAATTGAATCCATAACTCAAGCATGATTTTCAGTTATACAAACAAAAATGTGTTGACATGATAACTCAGCTTCTGCTCACTAATATGCATTTTGCAGATGCCATTTTATTGGGAAAAAAAACGTTTAATATATTTTCTGAATATGCATTTTAATTGCCTTTACTAAGCCTTTGGAATAGATAC